ATTAGCGAGCTGCCTGTACGTGCAGCCAGAGGGGTGCAGGCGAGCTCTGTGCACGGGAAAAGAGAAGAAAATGATCAGGAAGTGAAGCAGGAAGCCCAAACAGAGGAAGGAATGGCGTTAGCAGTGGAAACTGAAGCGGTGGAAACTTGTTGATTGTTCTTAATTGTCGTGAAGGTCTAGAAAAAGGGCTACAAATTACAGGGTCTTCGAATTCTGTATTTTTCTTCAAGTATCTGAAGTTTTTAAAAATCTGCTTTCAAAAAGCTGTATTTTCTGAATGCAGCTGTGAATTAGATCAGCCGTCCTTCAGGGACATGTGGGAACACATCACTAAGATGACAGGCTTCCCTTGCTTGGAGAATGGGGACAGTGCTGAGGGTTAGTGGGCTTGCAGAGGGTCTACCCCACCCCCCAGTCCTTTTTTTCTGTAAGGACATGTTCCTGTTTGTGGGTGATTTAATCATGTTCTGAAACAACTCTGCAATTTAATTCCCTGGCGTGGTCCCTCTCTCCCCTTCCCACGTGCCCAGAGCCTTGGGTCTTCAGGGTTGAGAGACTGATTTCTGGGGCTGCCATGAGTCCCTGTCCCAGCTGCGGAAAGTGCGACTCTAGAAAGAGCACTCAGGGAGCCAGCTTGGGGTTGGGTCTTCTGTCAAACAGGAGGTGAGTCTTTTTTTTGTCGATGTGGCAATAACCATGTGGTCTGGGGCTTTCTTCAGGGGCACATGGGGGTGCTCTGGGCACAAAGGGCTGTCTGCCTTGGCAGCCTTGCCACCTCAGCAGCTACCTGCGGGGTGTAGTAAGGGGCTGGCTCGTCCCCACACGACCCCACTGCCAGGCTGTTGCTGCTGCAGCCAGATGTCCTCTGGGAGGGCGTCTCTGCCGAGAGGTGTTACACAGAGTCGGCCAGTATCTGAATGTCTACACTGCAAGGCTCTGCGCTGGGTGCTGGGGGATTCCAGAGGGAGAAGGGGCCACTGCATGTGGGCTTGTCCTGCATTCGAAGAAAGAAGACCCATGTGCTTACTAGCAGCAAAAGGTAGAGAATAACAGGGCAGGGGAGTGAGCAGCACCTGCGACGGAACCAATCCAAGTCCAAAGAGTGGAGGAGAAGGTGGCGTTGGGCCGGGCGAGCAAGGAGAGTTTTGGCAGACACAGTGGGGACAGGCCCGGGACAGAGTGGGGGAAGGGGCCTCTGGCCAACTGAGCCATGAGGTGCAGGTAGGGGAGAGGAGAGTCAGACCGGATCATGGAATGCTGCCTAGGGATTTGCAATTTGCCTCTAGAAAGTTTAAGCGCAAGTGTTGAAACAACCACAGCCGAGGGAGAGGCATCGGGGCTGGGAGCTGGGTTTGCTCCTCATGCCCTCCTCGCTAATTTGGAGGATTGCTGGTAAGTCAGAGGAACTTTGGTCTAGTGCCTGCAGAAGGCATTGAGAAGCTGGGATGTGTGGAGGCATGTGCCTGCACGCGTGTGTGCTTCAATCCCTGTTCAGTTAGCCTAAGCACTTGGCATCTGCTCAGGTGTGTGATAGGTGTGCGCGGGACCGAGCTGTCTTCCTAGGCGGGTCGGCCCTCTGTTTCTAGGCCAGCGTTCCACCTGAAGACAGGACAGCTTTGTGAGTCATGGGTTGCTGCAATGCAGAGAGATCCAGAACACGATCCGACTCGAGGCCTGGAAGACCTTGGACGTGGCACCTGAGGAGGAAAGCCTGGGACCGAGGGGCTTTGAGTAGTGCACGTTCAGAGGACGTCAGCTCCCGAGAACCTGTCAGGGTTCTAGATACCTGCTGTCACCTGCACCCACTCCCAGCCTGCCCAGAGGATGAAAGTCAGACCTGGTCCAGGAGCATGTTGCTCCCTGCCCCCCACTTCTCTCGTTTGGCCATTCTTCATTTCCAAGTGGGGAAACGGGCTTGGGATAGCCCAACCCTACTGGTGTCAGAGTGACTCAGTAGAAACGTCAGATGAATCTTTTCTATGATTTTTTTTTTTTTTTAATTCCAGTGTAGTTAACATCCAATGTTGTACGAGTCTATGACTTTTTAAGCAAACACTAGTATGGCTCTGGGAGGGTGTGACTCTCTTTATTAAAGTTTACATTCCTTGTATTAAATCCTAGAACAGATAGGTAGGCGTGACCTTGCCAAGACAGAATCTTGCAGCATGGTTACTGAGTTCAGATCTGGACACTGGAGGAGCCATGGGAAACAGGAGCCAGTCCAGGGGAAGGGACCCGGTGGCCAAAATGGGCCAGGAGGTCGTCACGAAGAGTTGACAGACCTGAAGCTATTGGCTTCTACCCAGGGGGTAGAGGTATAGAGGTGGCAGAATAAAAATTACCTTTTATTTATTTTATTTTATTTTATTTTATTTTATTTATTTTATTTTATTAAAGATTTTATTTATTTATTTGACAGAGAGAGACACAGCGAGAGAGGGAACACAAGCAGGGGGAATGGGAGAGGGAGAAGCAGGCTTCCCGCGGAGCAGGGAGCCCGATGCAGGGCTCGATCCCAGGACCCTGGGATCATGACCTGAGCTGAAGGCAGACGCTTAATGACTGAGCACTCCAGGCACCCCATACCCTCAAATATTTAAAAGGCGGCTAAGAGAGGAATTAGATGCGTGTGTATGCGGAACAGTTATACATAGCATCAAGGGCCCTAGAACCTACAGGCTGGGAGATTTTGACTTTGTATGGAGAAGCATTATGTCTGCTTGGAAATGAATGAACTGGTGTAGAAGGGTTTTAGGGTTTGAAGGTCCTTTCCTATTCGAGAGCCTACAGGGTCCACCCTGGTCCTCAGGAAGCAGTTCTTTGCTGGCTAATTTTCATCTGGCTTGACTGCACTTGCAGCTTTTTCCCATAGGTGGTCGGGTGGTTCCTGCTCAGTGTTCACGACTGAGTTGGGGCAGGAGGAACACAGTGACCCAGGGGCCTCTGCTGTTTGCAGGAACCCTACTGCCTGGTAAGTCCCATACCGGCCATTCCTTTCCGGGTTGAGATTCTGCAGGCTGGCAGAGTGGAGAGAATCAGGAACGTAATAACCACGATAGCAGCTGTTACTCTTTTCAGGAGTTGAACGGGATGTCCACGGTCTCACACTAGCACATGGCAGAGCCAGCCTGTGAACCCAAGCAGGCAGGCTCCGGAGCCTGAACTCGTTACTCCATGCTCTTCTGGCTGGCTGGCCTGGAAGTCAGCGCTCACAGGAGAATACGTATAAGGGACCCAGGAAAGACAGGTATTTGTGTCAAGAACACTGGGTTCTGCACTGAAACTGGATGTCAGCATCGTCTGGGTAGTTTTTCCAGCACAGAGTCAGGAACCCACTTTTCTACTTGACAACAGGCACACAACCAATCAGGATGAGGAGTGATGGCGTCTGACCTATCTGTGGCAAGTCTGGGCGTCTCTTGGTTTGCCCATGGCTTTACCTATTCAAGGTGTACTTTTGAGAATAGGATGCCACTGAGCTGGTCTGCCCTCTCAGATCTGTATCCTGAAGTCTTCCCTGAATGTTGTGGCAAAATATGCTAAGTCAGTGGGACCTGGTTCTGTTTTTATGGTCTCTTTAGCTGTAGTAGAGAGAGCCACTGTCTGCTTGGCAATTTAGCGTGGTTGAAGGGTGTGAAGAATAACTTGGCATTTAACACCTGTCTTGTCACGAGATGAACGCTGCTTTCTGGACCCCAGCTTCCCTTATGTGGAAGTCTCATGTGGCAGATCTCATCGCTGGATAATTATAGACTGTAGATCTTCTCTTTCTCTGTGTTTCCTGCATGTGCGTTCCCATGCTTTAGCCCTTGACTTGCTATACAGGAGGCATTTGGTTACTGCTTATGAAAATGGATGGATATCTCATAGAATCCTCCCAGTAGCCCCATAAGAGAAATTATTAGTCCCTTTTGTCATCAGCCAAGGCGTAGAGATGATACATGACTTGCTCAAGGGCCAGGGTGCAGAAGGCAGGTCTCTTAGCCTCCAGTTTAGGGTTTCTCCCCTTGCCACTGGGAGGGAGTCTGCTGCCCCAGAGCAGGGCTCAACAGCCCTGGCACCAGGGTCCCCACACCTGCCGAGCCAGAAGCTGCGGGGTTCACAAGATCCCCAGGTGATTCTCACGAGTGTGAAAGTGTCAGGTGCGCTAGTCTAGGCTGCACTTCCGAGCGGATTAACCCTTCTCTCTTTGGGATTGATGGAAACAATGCACTTCCTGTGCCGATTTTGCTCTTTCCCGTGGGACGGGCCATGGGAAGAGGGGAACTTGAAGATAAATATGTGACTTTGCAATGTTCTTTGTTCTCTCACCACTGGTGAAAGTAGTTCCCAGGAGACTCTCTGGACTTATTCAATCGCATCCCCAAGTCTTACTAGACTTATTCAATCGCTTGCTCTGGGGAGTGATCCCCCCAATCATCTTTGGGTACGACTGACCTTGTCTTGGGGGAGAGGGAGTCTGAACACCACTCTTGGGAGCCCGGAGGCTGAGCTGCTCAGAGGGTGGGTGCTCCAGGGCCTGGTGTATGACACTGATTGGTGAGCTGCTGTCGTTGGCAAGGGGACTCAGTTGTCCCAGGGAGTTGAGAATGACTGTGGTATCAGGAAAGGCACATGTGGGTCCTCTCTCAATCTGATCGCAGCGAGAGGAAATGACATACTTGGATCTTGGCGTCCAAAGTGAAACCAGCTGGGGCCACCAGAAGTTGGAGTGCTGTTCCTTCCCAGGGCATGCCCAAGTGCCAGGGTAAATTCCGCAGGCTGGGGCCTGCCACCCCGCAGGTGTGATACTTCCCTGCCACACTGAGTCATGTCTGAGGTGTGGGCATCCCACAATTAAGGTTTTCTCAAAATTGGAAATCCAGAGCATTCAAGTGATGCTCTGAGTCGTGCCCTGTATGGACAGAATGTGCTGGCTCAAGCAGATTGCTGGCTGAGGGTTCAACTAAAATTAAACTCAAGTGCTGACTTGTTTTTACCTCCCCACCCCTTCCCTCAAGGTTGGCCTCCGACAGCTGGACATGTCCTTGCTCTGCCAACTTTACAGCCTCTACGAGTCCATTCAGGAATATAAGGGAGCATGCCAGGCGGCATCCAGCCCGGACTGCACTTATGCTCTGGAGAATGGCTTCTTCGACGACGAGGAGGAATATTTCCAGGAGCACAGCGCCCTCCACGATGGGGGGGAACGGGGCCCCCCAAGGGACCTGTCGCCGCCTGTCTCCTCGCTCTCCAGCAGCGACTGGATTCTGGAGTCCATCTAGAAAGGGATCTCGGCGGAGAGGCCACTGCTGCTACCAGACCCACTATCAGCCTCAGCTTCTCCTCTCCAAGAACGCTCCTCTGTTCCTCCATCGCGGGCAGTCCCCGGGCGCGAGCTGCCAGGGCTGGCCAGTTCACCTTGGAGGACACGCGTGGCAGTCTGTTGCGATGGCCGGAGTGTCTGCCTAGGTGGCCTCGAGGTGCTCAGCGACGTGCTTGGCGCCGCGGTACAGAGGCACTCCTGCCCATGAGTCCTGTCCATGCTGGGAACCTAAGGGGAGGATCCTGGGGGAAGACCCTCCCGGGCATTTCATGCCAGATGACTTTTACTAGTTACTTCCTTGCAGGTGGTAGACGATTTGCTACACTCTCTGTTGTAGCAATTGCCTCCAGATTGAAGTGTAGGAAAACTAACATTTTGCAGCCCCCCCCTCCCTTAATACTCCGGCAGCCTTCCTTGCTTTCGTCTTGTGAGCGTTTAAGACTCTTGGTTGGGCTTTCTTTGTAAGCTGCATTACTCACTGTCCCAGTGACTCAGTGAACGCTTTGTACCAAAAAAGTAAACGTTTCAGGCCACACCAGTCAACTGCATTCTCTTCACCTGCTTGTGGCAGAGTGGAGAGAATCAGGAACCTAACAACCGCGATAGCAGCTGTTACTCTTTTCAGGAGTTGAACAGGATGTCCACGGTCTCACACCAGTCAAAATTTGGATCCCTCTTTGTCCGATGGAGGACGGAGGAAGAGAACATGGAGATGGGTTACGTTGGCAAAAAGAAACAGGGACAAGCTCCTGTTTTGTGTCATTCACTGTAAGATGGCAAACGTTTTTGTTCTGGAAGATTCTAAATGTAAACTAGCATATTAGAAAGCAATCCTGCCTCTTCCACTCCAAACAATGATCACCTTAAGCCTTAATATATTTATTAAAATCTTTTATGAACGCTTTATACTTTGTAGGTTAAAAATGAGGATAAAATGCTAAACTCTCTGACTATAGTTACGTATTATTTTGGTCTGAACTCAGAATCACCCATTTTCAGAACTTGAATGCATTGAATCCAATCAACTACTGAAAGAAAAGTATGGTTCATTTTCTTGCCATTAAGGATTTGAAAGAAGTGCTATTTCTCTATTGATTTATTCTTGGAATTGTTTTATCCACAGTAGACCCCCATTTACAGTTAGGTCTCAGTGCTATTGTATCTCTGACTACTTCAGACCCCTTGCCCTTCTTCTTTGGACAAGAAGTGATAATTGCTTTTTCACAACCCTTTGGGGTCCAAGAGAGGAAGTAAAGCATCCTCATGGGCCAGCATGTTGACAGCCTGTTACGTACATGACCGTATGTGACCGTGTGAGTCACGGGGTGAGTACAGAGAAGGAAGAGTGTTCCTGCTATTTTCCTGTGTTGAAAGTAGTAGTTAAAAGAGAGATGGCAGTAAATTGCCTTCAGTATGTGGCCCAACTGTAAAGGGGGGACGAGAACAGTAAAAGTGATAGGACCAGGGGAAGTCTGGTCATCTTCTGGAAACTTTGACAATGAAAGGTTAACAATGCTTGAATCCTGGGCCCGCTGTGCTCAGCCCTGACCACATTAGAATCACTCGGGGGGGCTTTCAGAAGAATCTTGAGACTCTTTTAAATCTCAAGAACCCCCATCTTCATTTTAGTTAGGGGTGAGACCTGAGTCTCTGCCTGGTTCTAGAAGTCCCTCAGGTGATTCTAACACAGATCCAGTTGCCATCTAGTGTTCAGACTGGCCCGTGAAGCCGGCATCCTGGGACACACAGGAGAGCTACAAGGTCTCCTACCGCACCTGGACCTACCGACTCAGGCCCTGCGTCTTCACAGGATGACCTGGTGATTCTTGCACATGAAGTTCAGCAGGCGCTGCTTGTGTCAGTCCGGGAGGACTATGCCATCTCTGGGGGGAAGCTTGCAGGGCTGTCTCAGGCTTGGGGGAGCCCCCTCATCTAGAATGCAAGGCTTCCCTTGGTCTGCTGTGGTTCTTCTGGAACCGCAACCATAGGTTCACAGTGCCTTTGAGTTTGGGGGCACTCATCTCATTGCAAGATAGGCTATCAGAGCTAGAAGTGGAAGGAATCAGGGCCAGCAAGGGTCCTCCCCTTTGCTGGGGGGAAGGGCTGACACATTTCTCAGCCTCATGGTGAAGTGGCATATATACAGAAGCCATCATAGTTTTTAATATGCCATTTGAAATATATACACATTGTCCCAAGTTTTCTCTTACTCCAGATATAATGTACTGTTGTGAATACAGCTTGGCAAAGAATATTAAACATTTCCCAAACCGTAACATGTTTTCTAATACACTGTCCTTACGAAGATGCCACAGATGATAAGAAAATAAATTCACCGGGGTCCTTTATTGTTTCCGGGCATACATCGTAACCTCTAAGTTTGGGGTAGGACGGTTGTGCAACTCATTGGCCAACAGAGGGCTGGGTAGGCTATAAGGCAGACCGACGTTTCCCGAAGCGGTGAGCTACCGTGTAAGGCAGCGTACAGAGCAGTTAGAGAAATCACCTTTAGCTTCCTACGGCATTTGTGCCATGAGCCCAGAGTTGCTGCTAATTTAAACCTTGCATTTCACAAATGATGCAGCTCCTCTCACGCCCCAAGTGGAATTCAGAGTCAGTTAACCAACCTGACTCCTGGCTTCCATTTTTCTGTAACACCAACCTGACTCCTGGCTTCCATTTTTCTGTAACCTAGGGTGAAGCCATTCATTCAGCTGACATTTATTTAGTGCTGGTCTGGGTCACGTTGAGTCGGGCACCGAGAACACAACCTGCAGAACCTGAAGAGCCTCTAGCAGATGCCATTTCCACAAATAGCCCAACATGTGAGGTTGTGTTGTGATCAGGGCAGCACCAGGGCCACTGAGGCCTAGGAGACTCAACAAACACTGGGGACGTTGGCAGAGGTGACATCTGAGCTCATTTTGAAGGGTGAACAAGTTGTTTGTTTTTTTTTAAGATTTCAGAGAGTGTGAGAGCTGGGGAGAGGCAGAGGGGAAGAGAGAGAGAATCTCAAGCCGACTCCCCACCGAGCGTGGAGCCCAAATGGGGCTCGATCTCACGACCCTGAGATCGTGACCTGAGCCGAAATCCAGAGCCGGCCTCTTAACCGACTGAGCCATCCAGGTGCCCCTGAAGGGTGAATAAGTTCTTCAAAAAGAAGAGTGAGCAGGCGGATGGAAGGGCATAAGATCTCCAAAAACTTAGGTATAACCACATGTGTGCTTTCATAAAACTTTTCCATTTCTGTAAATAAAAACACAGGTCAAGTGATTTGCTTAAGGTCATGGCTAACTGACAGAGCTGGAGTTCTGAGATGTGGTTTGTGCTTCATTTACGTTTCAGGCCCAAGCAGGTGCTGAGATAGCATGAAATCGAGGAGATTATCCGCTGTGGCCTTCAGTCTTACATCACAGCACATTAGTATCCCACAGTGGATTGAGCAGCGCTTTCTACTGGGTCTTGCTCCGACTTCTTTCAGAGCCCGTGATCATGGACATAGGCCAAGTGTATGGGAGACTGAAAGGCTCTCTATAGCAACCAACATCAGGCCAGGTGGCAGTTCATTTTCATCCGTCTGTCTGGAGAAAACATAGAAGCCCAAACATGTCTAGTCTGCTTGTCTTCATGAAAAGATTGTACTTTGAGTTCAGAGAGATGTGTCTTGAGCCCATGCTCTATGGAGGTGGTAGAACTTATGTCACAAAGATGGCACCTCCGGGGTCATGGTTTCCCGGGGCAAAAATGCTGTGGGAGCGTGTGGGCCTCCAACCACCGAGTGAGGGTGGGCTTGGAGATGTCAACAGCCTGCCTGATGCCTTTGTGCTGGCCAACTGTGATAAGAATGCGTTACCTTTCCACCTGACTTCTCTGGCTAGCAGTCAACTGAGGACAGGTCCCTAGATAACTAGTTTCCTGTCTGGTTCTCCTGACTCCCCAAAGAACGTGCATAAGTGGAGTATCTAGAGAATGTTGAGCAAAACCTTTATTAAATACGCTAGCTGAGCAACGTTAGCAAAATGAAAGCGTGAAGCAAGTCAGTAAGGACACGTTGTGCCATCTGGAGAATTATGTATTGCCAACCTTGGGCAGAAGCTCCGAGACCTCCCTCCCTGCTTCCTGTTCTGTTTCCAGGACGGAGGATCTCTAAAGAAAGTCCTGCAGGAACACAGAAACCACTGTTCCTGGGAAGGCCGGTTTGGGTGGGAGGAGCACTTGCATGAGAAATCGGTCAAAGCCATGTCCCAGTTCCCCTGAGAGGGTGCAGCTCTGTTCCAGGACTTTAGGGAAGAGAGCACTTTACCTTCCATTCCCTGTCTTTCTCCTGCCCTCAGGATGGTAATAAGATGCCAGAGCGCAGCTCCAGGAGAAAGAAAGAAAGGGGAGACCGTTACGATGGCCTCTGAGACATTGTGTTAGAAATAAGAAAGCGCCTTTGAAAGCCCAGGGATTTCACAGGGCTGGGAAAACAACGGGGAGTTGAGGTTGAAGGGCAAGCTGGTGACCCTGCCCATTTGTCTGGGGTGCTGCTCTGCATAGAACTCTGGGAATCTAGATGGAGATGAATTTGGAGATTGAGGACGGGGCTTACTCACCAGACTCAACGAGCAGTGTGTTCCTGGCATGCCAAGGCCAGCAACACACCCCACCGGGCACTGGTCCTCTCTGTGGCTGATCCCCACTCGCCCTGCTGGCAGAAATGCCAGGGAAGAGAGGTTCAACCCAATCCCCCCTGTGGTCATATGCCACGTGACTGAGTCCTCTCAACAAGCTTCTATCAGACACACCCTAGATGACTGTTCTCCTTGATGAATAAACCTCTCCAGGCTCAGCCACTCCTACCAAAGCATGTCCATTGTACTGGGACCTCAGACTGGAAGGAGGCCGAGAGAAGACCTGGAAGCTGCATTTATCTGCCTCTGCTGTAGAAGAAAGAAGGGGAGCATACTCCATGGGGCA